CACTGGCTCCTTTTCAAGCTTTGGAAGCTAAGGCTTAGACATGGGTGCCAGCACCTAAGGGCCTACATATGGACAGCTAAGCTGCAGAACATCTGTGTCCATTTCCTCCCGGCCAGGCCCTGCTAGGCCACTCTTCTTTGGGCCCTGACCTCTTATCCCAAATGCCTGATCTTGGTTTTCCTGTATCATCGAAAGAATTATTGGGGTTGCTGTGTTTTTCTAAAAACAAAACAAAACCCAAAACTCAGCTTCCAACTTACCTGAATGAAGGTTCCCTGTAAGAATAGCTTCACAGTAATTCACACATTAGTAATCAGTTTGCTGAGAGGCAAACTGTACGTATGGGGCGAGGAGAGAGGCAGTATGTTGTTTGGATCTGAAGGAGGGTTAAGGGCTACGCCAGAAGATACAGTCCTGTGACTGTCTTCTGATCTTATGAGAACCAACTCGCCCTCAGAGGTGACACTGAGCATTTGGAAGCTTGACAGAGGTGCTCCAACGTAGACGCACAGTGTTTTCTCTTCCCATTATCAACTCATTAGAGAAAGTTGAAAGTAGTTACTTGGTACCACACGTAAAATGTGTGTGACAATGTCAGAAACACTGACTGACTCATAATACATTGAAGATGGCTTAACAATTTATAGAATCTCTATGCCTCTCTCCTAGCCCCAAATGGAATTGTTTAAAAAAAATTAGTAGGATTCAATATTCAAGTTCTGTGGGCAGAGCTCTACAAGTCAAAATACTAGTGAATTCTCCTGAGGTTTAGCAAATGACCCCGCAATGCATTTGGGATTTTACCTCAAAGTTAAGTACCAGGTCGGCCCACTTGCTGGGTTTCATGGTTCTGTCACAGATCGTTTGTCTAACCTTCTTCCCTGGTTACAGGCCCTGTGGTTCCATGTGCACAGCTGCTCCCATAGTTCTGACTTGAACAGTATGTGTGTCATGTTTCCATGAACTGTGTGAGGATCAACATAATCTTAAAAGACAAGCATGTTTTTTGGGTGGTTCCCTACCTTTTTCTCTTCCGTTGGAGAAGGTGTCCTCTTCAGCTTTTTCCTGCTGGCTTGCTTCACCCTGTAGCTGTTGACTAGAAAACTAAAGATACTTTTTTTTTAAACAAACAACACAAACATGTATAATAACCACAGAACAATTTAAACTCTGGTCTTTAAGTCACAGTTAATACATTCATTTATAGATAGGAGGTAATAAAAGGAGAAAGGAGAGGAAGGTAGGGGTAAGGGGACCACAGGTGATATTTTTTTAGGATAAATGCCACTTGAGAATGACTTGTGACTATGGCAAATTTGGCAAAGGTGTCATGTGTTTACTGCTGGAATTGACCTCTGATCATAAAAAGTGTACAAAGAGTGCATTCTGAAATGAGGAAACAAAAGCAACCCCAACCCTCAACTGGAGCAGGGAGGGGAAAAAATAAGTCCAAGAGGAAAAGAAAACTTCTACAAATATTTAATGTTTATGGGAGGAGGGGGCGCCATTAAAATGTTTATTAAGAGCTTAGGGATGTAACTTCACTTCTAGCATCTGAATCTCTAGGGGAATTGTGGGGAAAAAATATTGCTTCTTCTGAGTCTTCTGAAACTTCCCTTCCTCATTCAAGAGGGCCTACTCCAGTGCTCTGTGGAATCGCACTTATCTAAGTTGTATAAAGGCCCCTATGGACTGGCAGATTCTTCAGTAGCACACCCAAACACAAGTCGTGCCTGGAGTCATCTCATCCTCTGGCTGACCACAGGTCAGAGGAGGAATGTGGTGGGGACAAAAGCCCCATGCAGTGGAGTTGAATGAAATTTGTTAAACGTGGGCATTGGGAACCACTGTGGGTTGCTGGGGAACACCAGTAATACTGGCAGTAGCTAACGAGACGGGCCATTGGCTTTTGGGTTCCTCCTCTGATGGTTTTCACCCTCTGTGATGATCCTACTGTGCATCAACTGGCCATGTCCTTTTTATTTTGGAGTTTCAGTGCTTCCTGAGAAATTTGATTTTAAAATGGGCAAATGGCATGCTAACTCAGCAGTCACTGAAACCCTGGATGGGCAGGGGAGGGGTGAGGCTGGTTTAGGAGGAGCCTCATCTTTGCCATAGCTTTTTGCTTTTGTTTTTTCTTTTAAGTTTAGAAACCAGTTTTCCTTGTTATTTGCGGATCTTCCAAAAAGTTCTTTATCTAGAGGTAGTTGTTGGGGGGTAGAAGGGAAACTGACTCTAAAAAGAAAGGGCATGTTTGGCATTGCGAATGTCAAATCTAGCTCTATAAATCATTTTCTCCCAAATGAAATTTATTTTTGCTTAATATAAACTTTCCAGTACAAAAGTTAAAAGTAATCTTCAAGGTCATACATTGATTATTGCTAAATGGGAAAATGAGAATGAGTCCTGAAGTAAAAGTAAGGATGACTTAAAACCATATATGCACTGAGGAATATTGAGCAGTTTTAATAGTATCATTGTATCTGGGCCAAAATTGTAAACAACACTATACATTGCAGGGAGTTCTGTATAAAAGCAACTGCATTTTTACTATTGTTATTATTATTATTATTGGGAACCTGAGTAAGGAGAAAAACTTTAGACCCTGAGAAAGAAAACTGGAAGATTTAAAAAAAAAAAAGTCTGTAAATAGAACCTGCATTAAAAAAATAGAATAGAAAACCCAATAAATAAAGACTGCATTGCTGCATTGCTGCCAGATGGGTTAAAGCCAAAGTGGAAATTAAATATCACCATAGCAATGACAGGTACCCAGAAATGGGGAGCTCTCATTTCATGTACACTCAATGGACATTTATAACCAGGGATCTGTCGGGGTCTAGCTGTAACTCAGAAAGCAGTAGAATGTTTGACACCTGTCATTTGACAAGGGATTTGAAGAGCACACAGTACATTTGCTATAGATAATTATGCACACACTGCCACATAGCTTCTTATCATCATGTTTTTGGAAGGCATTATCCTATCTGAATGTGAAATCTGAGACCCTTCACTTACCTTGGCTTCTCTGAGCAAAAACAAAAACAAAAACCCTGAGATTTAATCTCTGGAGTTTGAGCTTATGAAATGAATTTGGTCCTATCATGTTTTTATTGCCCAGAACTAGTTCAAAGTACATGTGTGAAGTCGGTAGAAAGTTTTAAGATGTAAAATGCAATACTAATATGCTGTCATCATTACTGCTCACTAGAAATATTGAGAGCTGTGAGACTTTACTCCTTCAGGTCAGGAGGGGATAGACAGAAAGGAAATGAGTGGAATTCTCTCTGGTTAATACCAGTGGTAGATGATGTGGGTAAAAAAAATTTTAAAAATTAACTGACCCATGTGGAGAAAAATGTTTGCTTGAGTTGTTTTTTTTTTAAGAAAGCTAGGGAAAATTATATTTTAAAAGGGCTCTGGGGAATAGGAGCCTTTAAACTAGTATCGGGGAAATAATTAAGGTATTTCTTAACTCTAAAATGTGGTTGGGCCTGACAGGCCGCGCTCTCCCATACAGCAGGCAGCTCAGTAGAGGCCTTCTGAATGCAGAAAAATGGCTGAAATGGAAAAAAAAAAAAAAGGGAAAAAGAACAACACCAATACTTCTGCCGGATGGGATGCAGTGTATCACTGCAGCATTTATCCTACAATTAATCATGATTCACTGTGTAAACAATGTCAAAGAAGACTGGCCAGTATTATATTCAGTGTTTGCCTGCATCGATTTAATAAATATAGCACATACTAAAATCATTTTCATCCAGTAGCTCCCTTTCATTCTTAAAATGAGGCTTCAAAAAAAATTTTTTTTAAATTTTAAAAGTCTGCAAAGGACCAAAAGGCAAAGGGAAAATAGTTGATGACTGGATAGTATTAAAAAAAAAAAGCTTTAACTCTTCAAAATATTTCAGAACCTTCTTCATGTTATTATTATTATTATCTACTAACGTTCTTGTCAAGCTTTCCAAGATATTCAGTAATGGGCTTGAGGTGTTTGGGCAATAAAAACAGTGTGTGAACACATACACACTCATCCTTAAAGCAACAGATGAAGCTTCATGCCACAAATTGAAAGCCAAATCACAGATGGGCATCTGGTCTGCATTTGCAGTGCTAAGAATGCATGGACATCTTATTTCACACATTGGAACCAGAAAGTAAAAGTCCTTTGTCCTTCCTCCTCCCCCATGGACAGATAAGGGAGGCTCAGGTGAGATTCCTGTCCTCACTTCTGCAAGGCCTGGTTTGACAAGCTGCATTGCTAGTTTCAGGAAGCAGGTTCCTCTGGCGGCCATCTTAGCTCAGGTTTGTGCCAGGAAAGGCCCAAGGCTTGCCAGCCTGCCACCTCACCCCCCCAGCCCTAAAGACAAATCAAGGGGATGCAAAGAATTCCTAATATCCTGAAGTCCCAGCCCCAGATGTGGCATGTGCTGCTGTAGGATGGAGTGTTACATAAGCTATGGTACAGTCCTCCACATGCCCCCTCCCCCTCCTTGGGTAGGAGACTCAAGTCATGGAACTAAAGGATTCCTGAGCTAGGAAAGCTTCATTTCTCAGAGAAGGCCCCAGTATGTAAAGGTCACTGTCACTGGGGCTCCTGTCAGGTCAGATGTGACCCTCCCCCCCATCTTTCCCTCCCCAGGTTTGCCATCCAAAGCTAAATCTGAACTATGGAGAGGGTCTCTCAGTTACCTGCAGGGAACCCAGACACTGTCACATAAAGTTCTGGGGCTTTAGTGTCATTGAGACATTTCAAATTTAAAAATCTCCTGTTGGCACGTTTTGGTAAGTGGGTAAGTGGCAATGTCCACCCCCATTCCCACCCCAGGCAGACATAAAAAAATGACCATCACATCTTAAAACTGTCAGTGGTGGGAGACATCACTGCAACAGGGCTATGCCAATAATGTTATTCATAAAAAAATCCTGTATTATGAAATATTTAATAAATGTAATGTAGTCTTAGGAAGTGTGCTCTTAAAATCCCTTGAAATGTTTCAGAGAATAGAATAGGCAGACTGCTGTTCACTGATGCTCTGACTGTGCCCAGAAGAGTTAAGGTCCCCAGGTTTGAGTGTGGAGGGGGGTGGGGGTCCTTGCTGTGAGGTGAGGGGAGGGGCCGATGAGAGCTGGGGAAGGGAGACAGGGGAGGGGAGAAGTACCTCCCGGTTAGCACATCATAATCCATCTGAAGTACCAGATTTTATTTATTTGTTTATTTATTTATTTATTTATGGATCCAAAGATCTTACCTTCAAGCCTCTCTGCCACCAGCTAAAGCTGCTTGAAAAAGATTCACATGTAAACACTGACATATTTCACAGTTTTGCCTACACTGTCCCCATGCTTAAGATAATATATGTAATTTTTATTGCATGGCAATGATAAAAATGACATTTATACTGCAACATACAGCTCCCATCTTTGCAAACCAAGCCCCTCCTGCTGCATTCTCTGTAAAAGGGTAAATGATTGGCTTACCTCCAGCTCTTCGCTAGGGAAGAAAATAATTTCATATTTTAAAGACATAGCCACGCCCACCCCTTAGAACCAATCCCTTGTGACATCGGGACGTGGATTGGCAGGGGGGGCTTGGTGTGGCCCCCTCCCCCTCCCCCTCCCCCCAGGTGGGCCGAGTGGGTGCAGAATACCGAACCCCCGTGTGCAGCCCCGGAGCCCCGGATACCTGTGGGTCTGGTTTTTCAACGGAAAAGGCGGGAGGGTTTGGCGAACGAATGAGAAGTGAGGAAACGCTTAGCGCAAAGGGAAAAAGAGAGAAAGACACACAGGAGAAAGGTTACAGAGGCCACGGCAGCCCCCCACCCCCACCCCCGCCCCACCAGCAGCCCGGCCGGCCGCCCGATTACCCAGGATGCCCCACCACCTCGGCCCGCGCGCCCGGCCGGCTGGCCGCCGAGCGCCCGCGCGCGGGTACCGCGGAGCGCGCCGGCTCCCAAGTTTCCCCCCGCGCCATGGCGCACATCACCAGACAGCCCGTTTCTGAGTACGAGTACACAGTCGGCGGGTGGTTCGGGGTGTGCCGGGGTGGCTTGAGCAGGTCATGCACAGGCGGACACGACAGGAGCACCAGACACACACCAACCACAAGCCGAGTCCAAGCAGCCGTGCCAGGCGAGGCGGGGGCGCGGCCCCCCATGCCCCCAGCCCACCGCGGCCCCAGCCAACGTAGCCACGGGGAGCCCCGGGGCCCCTCCCGGCGGTTCCTCGCTCACCTGAAGCCCTCGCCTGTCCAGCTTACGGCGGCTGGCGCTGGCGCTGGCCTCCAGCCGGTAACGACCCTCAATGTCGCTCGGCACCACTTTTCTCCCTGGAGGGCACATACTTCGCCACCCGATCCTTTCCCACGGCCCCCTCCCCCGCCCGGGGCATACACTGGGGGGTCCCACCCTTCCACCAGCCGCAGGCTCGCCCCTCCGAAGCCTCCCCCCCACCGCCCCAGCCCCGCGGGGCGAGCCGGCCGTCACCTTCTCGGGCTGCCCCGGCGGCTCAGCTGCCGTGGGCAGCGGCCACCCTATTACCTAGAAGCAGCGCGTACACATATAATCCGTCTTTTCCTCCTGGAGTTGGCGTTCGAGGCGCCCGGCGCGCAGCGGGTCGAGCCTCTTGGTGCGCAGCTCCAAGGCTTCTTTGCGCATCTGGCGGAGCCTCTCTTCCACCAGCTCATCCCGGGGCCGGCTGGGGCTCCCGGTTCCGTGCTCGGGGTTCTCGCAGCCGCAGAAGCAGGTTCCGAAAGATTGCACGAGGAAGTTGCGGAGTAAGTTGCGCTCGGGGGCCGTCTTGCGGGGCTGCCGGCTGCGGTGGGGCCACCACTGGAAGCAGCCGAAGGTTTTTTGCTCCGACTCCTCGCTGGAGGAGTCGCTGAGATACTGCTCGAGGTACCTGACCCGGGCTCGGCCGCGCTCCGATTTGCCCCGCCAGGCGCTGCTCGCCCGAGTAGGCCGCGGAGTAGGCGGGTCAGCAGCCTGGATCTCGGGGCTGGGGGGTCTAAGGAGATGGAGGCTTCGGGGCCCCACAGAGGTAGGGGACGCGAAGGCGGTGCGGATGATCCCGGGGGCCGGGCCTGCGGAGGCTGAGCGGATGGCAGTCGGCGGCCGGGCCGCGGGAGCGGGCGCGGAAGCGAGAGCGGCCGGGGCGACTCGGGCTCCCCGGGCGCCCGGATTGGCCGTGGCGACGGGGGCCGCCCTTGCCGCCGGAGGCTCGGCTGCGGCCGGGGCTGCCCCGGCGCCTTCGGGATCGGCTCGGGCGGCAGGGGCGCCCTGAGCACGGCGATCGGCTCGAGCGGCAGGGGCTGCCCGCTGGCCAGGATCTGCGGGCGCGGCCGGGCCTCCGCGGGCTCCGGCATCGGCGGCCCGGGCGGCAGCGGGGGCTCCTCGGGCTTCGGGCTCGGCTTCGGCAGCGGGGACTCCTCCGGCTCCGACATCGGGCTCAGCCGGGGCGGCCGGGGCTCCTCCGGCGTCCGGCTCGGCGGCGCTCGCAGGGGCGGCCGCCACTTCGGGGTGGACTGGGGCTCCTCCGGCGCCGGCAGGGGATCCGTCCCCTGGAGGGGGGCCGTCTCCTTCCTCCGCGGCGGCGGAGGCTGCGCGTCCTTCCATCTCCGCTGCCTCTCCCTCGACTGGGGGTCTCTGCGCTCGCGCACTCTTATCTGGGGCTCCCGCGATTCCGATGGGCGGGCCGTCAGCGGCGATTGGGGGGCTGTCTGTGTTGACAGGAGCGTCGTCGACCCCAACGGGGGCGCTGCCGATCTCAAGTGGGGGTCCGCTGAGCTCCATCGGGGGGCTCGCGCGCTGGTCGTCGGGAAGAGCGCTGCCTGCCTCTCGGGATGGGCTGCCGACGGCGCCCCACACCCGGGGAGGAGGCGCGCTCGCGGCGGGAGCGAGGCAGAGCGCCCTCGGGACCGCGATGGCCTGCAGGAGGCCGCCGCCGGTGCCCGGTGGGCTGGCTCCGGGGAGCCCAGGGGGTGGATGGTCGTTTCCAGAGGCTTCTCCATCCAGCTCAAATGGCATCGCCTCCTCGGGGGGAGGGCTGTGGTCTCCCCCGAAGGCGGCGCTCGCAGGCCCGATGACTCGGGGCTCCGCGGGAGGTGCTCCGGGGACCCCTGGCCCGCCGGGAGCAAGGTCTGCGACCTGCAGGAGAGGCTGGCCGCCGCCTCCCGGGGCAGGCTGGTCAAACTCGAACGGCATGGCTTCTTCTGGTGGAGGGCTGTATCCTCCCATGCCCGGCGTCGCCCCAGCCAGGGCTCCGGGCTCCACGGGCGCCAGGCCGCTGGCCTCGAGACCTGCTCCGGTCCCAGGGGGTCCAGACTTCTCCAGGTCGGGCCAGAAGCCTCCCATGGTGGGCTGCTCCACCTCAAAGGGCATGGCTTCTTCAGGAGGTGGGCTGTAGCCCCCGTCGGCTCCGGCTTCCTCGAAGGCCGGGCTGAGGCCCTGGTGGTGGGCCCCGGGGACATCTGGGGGTCCGCTGGCGTCGCCATTGACCTGGATGGGGACGGGCTCATCGGGAGGCGATTGGGTTTCCATCTCTTCGGCTGGGCCAGGCCCAGCACCGGGGGCAGCGGCCCCTGGGGCTTCCAAAGGTTCTTGCTCGGGCTGTTCGCCGTCTTCAGGGGGGATATTGTGTTGTCCTGACATATTATTGCCGTGGAGGCAGTTGCGCATGCCCATAACAGGGTGGCGGTTGTTAAAGTGAATTTGGGGCCCCGTGAGACGGAGCACCCAGCCAAACTAGGGTGAAAAAAATTATTCAAAAAAAAAATCAGAGTTCCAGCCCGGCAGTTCTTCAGCTTCACGTCCCAGCCTTGCGAGGCTGCGGGGCTCTCCGGGCCTGGAACCCCAGACCGCAGAGGAAGCAACGCGGCCCTGGCTGGTGGAGCCTTGGTTCACTTCCGGTTCCTTCTCGATCACTTTTTATTCTCTGGGGCTGCTCCCTGGAGAGCCAGGCTGCGACTTGGCCTTGTTTCCTCTTCTATCTGCGCCAGGCCAGCTCTCAAATTGGCTCTGAAGAGCGTGCCGATTCGTCCCGAAAATCGTCAGTAGCGCTGTGTCTCTGCCACCAGAGGACGCCGGTCCCGGTGCCGAGGCGGCTCCGGCTCCGGATCCGGCTCCGGGAGCCGGATCCGGGCGGCCCGGCAGCCCGGGACTTTGGGTATGGGGGCTGATGAGCGCAGGCCTCGCAGGGATGTTTTGGCTCCTTCCTCTCCTCTCCCAGACTGATTTGGAGTCCTTCTCCTCGCCTCTCCCCTGGCCAGAGAGAGCGAGCGAGCTCGCCTGCGTTGTGGACACGTGACGCAAGACGTGGGCATCAGGATGCTGGAGAGCGGGAGCTAAAGCCCTCCCTCCCCAGACTCTCCTCAGGGGAGGGGGGACTGCAGGAGGGTTTTCGATCACCCCAGATACCCTAAGCCTCTTAGCGGTGGCCCCCAGCCCCAGGAAGCGCTGCATTTTGAGCTCCAAGTCCGGAGCTTAGGACTTTAGATGCCGGGCAAGGGGACCCGGGCGAGGCGTGGGAATGCGACAGGTGGTCGCGAGCCCCCCGGAGGGGACGGGAGGGGCGAGGCCCGGGGGGCTGTCGAATGCAAGCACAGAACCTGCTTTTTAAACGCCTCTGGGCATTTTTTTGGGGGGGTCATTTCTGCTGTTTTTGTTTGCCGTCCGCGGACGATGGCTGCGGTTCAGTCTCAGCGTCCCCATCCCCATTATATTTTGGGGGTCTCAGCGGTGGCCCAGAGTGGCGCAGAGAGCGTTTGCTTGTGTTTATGTGGACGGTGACGCAGAACCTTGGGTCGGACATCAAAGGTCTCCGGGCGCACCGCGGAGGATAAAGCGAAGCCCCCCGGGCGGTCGCCGCAGTCTCGGCCGTACCGGTGTGGGAGGGGGGGGGTGCTCACAGGAAGACCCCAGCTCAGGCCTCCGACTTCCGAAGGGCTGGAGGAGGTTGTCGGCCGGCATTTATGGTCGGTTTAGGGTGGTCTCAAAGACTGGATGTCTCTGTGCTCAGACCCCAGGGAAAGAAATACAACATAAATAAAATGTGCCGCGCCGGCCACAGCAGCCAAGGCGCACGGCTTGCAGCCTCCGGCGCGCGCGGCCGCGCGGGTCGCCCAGCCCACCCCAGACCCTCTCCAGCCCTTCGTTAACCACCGCCCCCCACTCTTTTTGGAACAAGTATCCCAGGGCAGCTGCTTTGCTTTCCCAGGGCTTATAGCTCTCTGGGGTGGCACCAAACGCGGCCACATACCCAGCAATCGTCCACCGCCGCGCCGCGCGCCCCCTTTGCCGCGGTGCCGCGGTGGGCTCCGTGCACGCGCGCGCGCGCGCACCGCACTGGGTCTGGGGGCTGCGGAGAGATTAGCGACTGAGAAGGGAGAGGAAAGATTAAAAATTCACCATTCCCCTATCATGTAAAAGCTAGCACACACACAGATTCGCCAGCCAGGTGCTAGGGGCTGGCGAAACACTTTGCCGTGATGCCGGGTACGCGCGCGCGCGTGCGCGCATGTCCGATCACGGTGGGAAGGGGGAGACGGGGGGGGGGCGTGGGTGGCTGGTGACAAGGCCCTGGGTGACCCGGGGAAGGGCTGGGCCGAGGGATGGGGTCTCCCCAGATGTCCCCGGAGAGCGAGGGCATGGCGCCGGCCGCTGCAGTTGCGCTGCAGGCGGGTGGATGGCGTCTTGCCGCGATGTACCGCATACATCTAACGCATTCCCTCTCCCAACCAGGGCACCACAGACACAACGTGCCGTAGCCCCCCGCATCCAGCGCCCCAGCACCCACGTGGCCGTGCTGCCCAGAGGATCGTTGACAAAGCCAGCCCCGAGGGACACCGCGACCTCCCAAGGGCAGCCATCCCACTCCGTAGGTCTACGTTCTCACTAATGGTAACACCGAACTTTGCTTCAAAGTTTGTCCAACTACCCCGTCCTCCCCCCGCCCCCCCCCCTCGCCCCGCAACCGCCGAAGAATTTGAGCATCCATTGAATGGGCCAACTGGGTCCCCAACAACCAGCTCCCTCCTCTCCGACCCCGGCAACGGGTCAGTCATTGGGCTGGGGTCACGCCAATCAAGGCTGCCTGGCGAATGAGCAGGGGGCTTCGAACCGGAAACCGGATATTGGTGGGAGGTCCAATAGGGGGCGCCGCGTTGGAACGCCCAAAAGGTTGGGTTGCTTGGGTGGTTGGAAGCAGTTGGCGGGCCGACGTATGGCGGCCAGGCCTAGGAGGCCAAGAGGACCGATGGCGCCGGGAGATCATAATTTTTCCCGCCGCCACCAGTCACAAAGGTCGGGGGTCTCCCGAGAGTCAGTCCTTGGGCTCAAGGATGGATGGTGGTAAGCTAACCTCCGTTGAGGAGAGGGAAAAGGATCCAGATTCCCAGGGCCTGGAGTAGTGGGCCAGAACCAGGTGAGGACTTCCCGCCCAGAGCGGAGGAGCCGCCCATGACTCACAAGGAATTGAAAACCCAGAGATGCTGAGCCCTGTACAAAATGGAAGGTCAGTAGACGCTGCGGTTGCAGCCCCAAGGAGGCTGCCTTGGGTCGGGGGGCCTAAACGGGAGGGACGGCACTCGCCCATTCTTACGTCCCCAAAGCACCCAGCTTCGAAAATCAGGTTCAGGGTCTCTTTGTTTGACTGCCTCGTGGATCTGTGGAGCACCTTTGTTCAACGTTCATCATCTCTCTTTGTCAGTGGAGCATTTGCATTCAAGGGATAAAGATTGGGCAGAAACCAATCCTAATGAAAGAAAAGATCTCCAATTGGAGGAACTGGGAGAGTCTTCCTAGACAAAATGGCGTTTCAAATGGGTTTCCAAAGGACAGATGTCTTGACTTTGCCTAAAAAGGGTGGGCGGAGGGAGGGGGAAACACATTTACCTAACAAGAACAAAGGATCCTTGACAAAGGTAGAAAATATGGGGCATAGGTGAGCAAACAGGACAGGGCCCTTTTGCTCTTGGACAAGCAATGGGACAGAAGTGAGGAGAAACTGGATGGAAGCTCTGATGGTTTCATGCAACACCCTGGTTGGCACTGTTGAAGCGATTTTGGCAAGAAATGGAGAGGATGTGGGATAATAATAATAACAACGTTATTATTACTATTTTAATCCTCCTATAAGTGGAAATTTGAGCCACATTTCAGAGGATGGTCCTGATAAAGGAAAAGAGATATGCCAATAACACCTTTAAGGGAGAGATCTAGACACAATAAAGGACTGGAGAAGGCTGAAAGGACTTAAGAGGAGTTCCAAAGGAGCCTCTGCCAACTTCTGTGCTAGAGGAATACCAAAGATTACACGGGACACTAGGAGTAGGATAGTGAAGTCAGAAAGGAGCTAGTAAGGGCCAATTTGATTTTAGACATGCAAAGTGAACGGGATGTGGGACAGTCTGGTGGGGATTTTTATAACTCAATATTGAAGATGAAGAATCTGAACCCTGGAAGAAAGCTAGGTAGCATTCACTCAAACTGGAAATAACCTTATTTGGATTTGAGATCACTAGATCAGATGAAACTGCTGGGAAGCAATATGTTTGGTGATGGAAGAGCAATTGGAGAATTAGATAGGAGAAAGAGGACTAGACCATGAGAGAGAAAGGAGGGTTCTGAAGGGAAGGAAGGGCTTCCCCACCCTAGACAATGGCTTCCTGGCCTCTACTTTGGTGACATTTTGGTCAGGGAAACTCCTTGCTGTGGTGACTGTCCTGTGTACCACAGGATGCCAAGCAGTGTCCCTAACCTCTACCCATTAGATCTCAGTAGCATCTCTTTAGTTGTAACATCTAGCAATGTCTCTGGACTTTGCCAAATAAATCTGGAAGCAAGACCACCCCTTGTTCAAAGTCAGTGTCATAAGCTGAGAAGGAGCCGGAGCCCTTGCATGTGACTAGAAATCACCTGAAAGGTAAATCAGTGCCAGGAAAAATGAATTTCAATATTTACCTCTATTCTTAATTATTTTCCTGTAGTGATTGGCTACCAGAATCTGAAAACCCCAAACCACTTGGATGAGAGGGGCTAAGAGCTAAAACTCCAACTACGCATCTGCTGGGGATCTTGAGAGGCCCCAGGTGCGTAGCCAGATGTTTGAGGAGCTTCTGAGACAGAAGAGACTGGGTGATTCCACCAAAGAGACCTGAGGATCTCCATGGGGTAAGAGCTAGGGGTGGTCACCAGGGAGGTAGATCACCAGGGGGTTCACCTTGCTGGGTTGATTTGTCTAGTGGATTTGCTGAGGATTGGTGTCTTGCTGGCTAAAGACAGAAGCATGACCTTGACTTGAAAGGAGAAGGTCATACTAGTTGGTGGGCAACCTGATCTGGGGCCTGACCCTACCAGGTGCATTGTTATTATGGTCTGTTATTATCATTGTATGATAGCAAAGGACCTTAAACAGGTTTGCAATTGCAGATGGATTCAAAACAGGAGAAGAGGTAAACACTGAAGGAAGAAAGTCAGCTATGGGTTCAAGCAACTAAGAGGAAAGTCAAAAGACAATCTGGTGCAGATAAAAAGGCTGTGTGTCAGGGCAGTGTTGGCCCAGTCCTGATGGGGATTTTGGTAGCAAGAGGGGCTGCATCAAGGAGGACAGGGTTTGTTGTTAAAACCCAGATGACGGTTTGTTTTACACATGGCTACTGAATAGGAATGGATTTTCTACACTTGAT